ACATACGGACAACTAATTTTCCACAAAGGTACAAAGGCAATTAAGGAGAATAATGCTAGACTTTTCAACTATTGTATATCCATATGTAAAGAAATAAATTTCAACCCATACTGACTGACTCTGGGCTTGAAAAGTACTATTTTTTCCTCTTTCCGATTTTCATCTTATTAATTCTTTCTGTCTTCAAAGAATGTTAACATGTTTACTTTGAAAAAAATATCAACTGAAAGTAGAAGCAGCTGGTCCAGAAATATGCTACATTGAAAAGAAAAGCCAGGGCGGTATTTAAAAGCAGGTTACAGACACCCAGGAAGCCAGTGACGCGCATGTAAATAATCGCAGTCTGGCCCCATCAGGATTGAGGAGATGAAAAAGGGCTGTCTCGTGAACGTGTTTTGCAAGTTGAAAAATCTATTTCAGTTTGATTGGCTAGGAAAAAGAGGTTGATTTCACGAACTTAAAACGTAAGATGCAGCTTTAGGCTGGAGAACGGAGATCTACGAGTAGCAAAGTAAATAGTGCTGATGTGATCCCGACGGTCACACGATTTAAAGGCTGTGCTGATGTCTTGCCTTCCCGCACATCAGGGTGACAGGAGGGCTTCGAGAAACAAGCTGGGCTGTTCAGAAGATAATCCCTTTGGATTCGTAAACAAGAAAGCTGTATCAAAGAGAGAAAATATGTGACGTCATTGTCGGGAAAAGATTTAGACCAAACAGTTGGGGTATCTGCTATGAAAAAAAAAAATCCAAAAACAAGCCATCTTTTCTTCCTCACTGCTATTTGACAGGAAGATAGGCAAGAAGGGTCCCTGCCCCTAGCCCTGCCTCTCAAGGGGTCCCCACGCTTTTGACCACCTTTCTTGGAATTTTTTAGATCACCCTCTGGTTGTGGGAACCAGCTACCACTAGCAGTGCCATCCAAGCAGGACACCCCTGGACCAGGAGCTGCATGGGCCCGGCCCCCATCTTTCCACTTTGGAGCATTCTCCCACCCTAACTCCACAGGGAGGGTCCATCTCATACCCCAGGAGTCTGGGGCTCACACATCACCAGGTTGCCCTGGAACTTGGTGGCCAGGCCTGCTGCGAAGAGGCTGGCTGACAAGCAGACCTGTCCCACTGGCTGGCATTTCACTTATGGGGTCCCGTGAGACTGGCCACCAGGATGCTGCTGGCACGTTCACATCAAGTGACTCAGACTGCTTATATGGACAGCCCCTGCGCCAAAAAAAGTATTTGCCCAGGACCACAATCCCTAAGGAAAGGCCTGGTGGGAGGGGACGGTGAATATCTGAATTAAAGTTAAGTAACCAAGTCAGCATAGAAAACACTCCAGGACATTTTCTGAAGAAAAAAGGAGACAACCTTGCATGTACACATATATCTATGTGTATTTATACACATGATTTTTTTTTTTGGTCTTGATCTCTGGTAAAAATCTTATTTATTTCCCATATATTTGGTTTCCAGGGATGTAATACTTTTTAAAAATGTTTACCAAAAATCCATTTCCTAAGAATAGAGTATTTTGAGGGGAATGGGAGATTATTTGAGAAGCTCTTATTTAAAGAGAGTACACAGAGATTTTGTTGCAGAAGTCCTCAGAGCCCCATACATGCTGAAAGGGACTATGAAAAATGCAAAAGGAGATGCAGCCCCCACCCTTCTATGATCAAAGATGAGCTTTTCACAGCATCTCACGGGACTAGATGGAAAATGCTGTTTTGAAAGAATAATGCGGTGCGTGCACGCACGCACGCGCGCACACACACACACACACACACAGGATTTGTTCCTATTTAAGTTCCTGGGAGTTAAAAACATGGAGGGATGGATTTGTCCCTTATCGGGTCCATATTTGTAAACACAGAACCAGAGAAGCAAAGTCAGCCCTGTGGTCTTGATAAGCAGGCATCTCCCTATGAGCAGATAAGGATATTTCCAGAGAAGATTCTGGGAAATATCTATTTCCCAAATACACAGGCTACATTTAAGGTCTGGGCCATTAGAGGGCTCTGTAGACCTGATGGATTTCTGTTTCCAATCCCAGGACGTTCTCAAGGGAGAATTATCGCTGTGACGAAGCCTGGTGTATGAAACATACAAATCCATCAGAGATGAGGAATATTTCATTCATCACATCTTGAGCTTCCAGGTGGGATTAATACAAATGCTTTTCTTCCCCGTTATGCAAATGATAAAAATAGCAAACTGGGGGCATAAATCTATTTGTTAAATGTAAAATGACCCATTAAACATTTTGAAAACAGTAAAATAAAATTTATATATAAATATATATATATGAATCACTTTGCTGTACGCCAGAAGCTAACACAACATTGTAAATCAACTATACGTCAATAAAGAAAAAATAAGTGAAATTAAATGAAGCTAGATTATACCACTCAATAAGGGAGAAAGCAGACGGAACTATAAATCCTTGATTCACCCCTGCTCTTATTGCGACATGAGACTCACAGCCATTGAATCGATGGAAATGCTTCAACTTATATACTGGGGTCCACGTGCTAGAACCATGTTGCCACTTATATCCAGAAGAAAATGACAGAAAATCCTTTCTGCCTCCTTCCCAGAGTAAAAGAAAACAATCTATATGAAGTTGAGCCCCCCCCAAATGCGCCCCCGTAATGTCTCTGGGGGTTACTTCTTTCAGAGTCACCTGGCACACTGATGGACGTGACCCAGCCGGTAAGTTATAAGTGGTAGACAGACAGAGCTTGATGATTTCAGAGCAGATACTGGCCAGGAAACCATGGCATTGAGTGTGCTGAGTCCAGACAAATGATATTTACACACACATCCAAATTGGAAGAGAAATTGTATTTCTTTAGGTTTCAGACACTGTAATAGATATAAAGCAAAAATAAAAATGTGTTGCAAAGTTCTAAAAAAAAGAAATGATAAAAGGCGCAAACGTGTATTAATATATATTGCAAAATGGGAGATGCTTTTCCTTCCCTTTCCAACAGCCTTGGAGTCATGCATACAGACTATCGATGCTGGGGCAAGGGGGCTCCATCAGCTATCTGTGTCACTGCAGTAGCCACACTGCTACAGCCACAGCTGGAGACGTTTCTGCTTTGAAAGGTGCTTCCTCTCCCTCTCCTCTCCCTAACTCTTGGCTTTGCCCATCACTCTCAGTCAACAACACCAGCACACGTTAACACTCTTAGGAGGACTCAGGCACCTCTTCTGGCATCTGTAATTTTTAGAAGTGCTTTGATTCTTTTTTTTTCCCCACTGTAAAGGACCCTTATATGAGCCAGCAAACTGCAAATAAAAAAAACATTTTTGAAGAAAGAACTCTTTTAAACCCCATCTTTATTTCAGAACCAGTCTACGTGTCACGTTTTCTCTACTTCAGTGGCCTCAGCTGCTACATGTCCTCAGCTAAATACACACGGCTTCTAGGTGGCCACATTCTCTATTGATGATGGAATTGAGAGGATGCTCTCGCGGGGTCCAGGTGAAAGCAACTTGAGTAAGGGTATTATCACCCTAAAACACTGTTGCTTTTAAAGTGATGTAGCTAAAAACAGAATGAGCTGTTAGAAATACAAAGGGACAGCACAACTTGGAAGTGAAAACTGCTCCAGTTTGGTGCCAGGGCCGTGGCGGATGCTGGGTAAGATCATTTGGCTCTAAGACCGCTATCCCTGGTGGCATCTGTGTATCCACAGATATAACTGGTCCACGCACTGATAAAAGTGCAATTCCCCCTCCTCGAAGGAGCTACTAAATCACATTTCAAGTTCTAATTAGCTTACCAAATGCAGCACCTCATACAAACAACAGAAGGAAAACAACAGCTAAAAGCAACGTGCTGATCCATAAATGCCCTCGAAAGAGATGAGAAATTATGATGTGCCACTGCACTGCTTCTGAGTTTTCATTTTCTGAGCTCCCTGTTTTTAGCACATTATTTCCATTATTAGCGACAGGATGCAATTGTAATTGGGATGCAATATGTAGTGTTGTTATGGATGTACTCAGTAATTACAATGCTGTGTTTGCACCCCTTGCAAAATGTTAAAATTATTTCTGACCCTGAGAACACCAGGAGGAAATGATATTGGCATGACTTCTCTGGGGACATTCACCCTCAACAAAGAGATGGCTTTGAGGGCATTAGGAGCAACTAAGTCCTTGAGACAATGGGACAACCAAACTGGGACAGGTGTAGGTATAACACTGAGAGTAGCTGTAGGTGGAACACACACACAATCAGGTATCTTGAAAAGCAGGGGGAACGCTGGTGCCAAGTCATGGAAATGAATACATTTACTCCTGCTAAAGGTCAAAAGATTTAACATTCACCTCTTTGAATTTCATTTTCCTATTCTCTGCTAGGGAGCAATATGGAAGAAATGATAAAAGGCACAAACGTGTATTAATATATATTGATATCACCAAGGTGCTGGTGATGTAACAGAAAAAGTGGAAGTAACCTGTGACCACCATCGGCGGTTGGTTACATCCATCTGATAGAATACCCCGGTCAAACTTTATTTTGGAAAAGACAGTATTATGACATGAAAAAATGCTCAGTAAGATGACGCAGAAAATTCAGGAATACCTAACAATACAATCCGAATTCTGTACTGCAAAACTGATAAAACAAAAAAACTAAAAGAAAAAATAACTAAAAGAATAAACCAAAATGCATCCGCGGTTATGTTAGTGTTATGATTTAAGGGATTATTAACATTCTTCACTTTACACTTAGTATTTTTCCCAACTTTCTATAGGAAGGATGTACAACTCTTAACAGTGGGAAAAATGAGTCTTTTCAAATACCGCACATCTCCCATTTGGGAACCCTTTAGACACACCAAGTATTGATAAAGCAAACCCGAATGACAACTGAAATTACATTGTTGGCTTGAACATCTGCCACCTTCTTTAGAGATGAGCTCTGAGGGTCCCTCTGCTGCTGTGGTGCTTTAGTGAACATCCCAGCTCTGTATCAGGCACTCACCTGAGAAGGCGTCGTCACACTGATTTCCGGAACAAAGTTGTCCTCGAAGAAACTGATGATGTTCTCCTGCTGTAGCTCCTTTGTTGGGGTGACTTTAGGGAGAGGTGGGACAGGAGGCCCTTTCCTTGTCTAAGAAGCATCACACAAACCAACAGGGGTTAATTCAGGCAAAGATGGCACGGGAGACACGCAGAAATGTCACGTAAACAGAGCTAGGGGAACAGACTGATTGCTGATTGAAATGTAGGTCTGCTTAGAGAAATAAGCCCACCTGATTCAGGCAAAGAACGCCTTCTTGGGTGGCCCTCAGAGCTCTGACAACCAGTGGCCCAATGAGAAAAATTCAGGCTATGAGGCTCCATCCATCTCAACCCAAGTGCTATACACGGGGCTCCGGTGCCACGTGTACCCGTGCCTCTCAGGTTAAAGAAGGCAGTACCTTCTCTGAAGTCAACTGAAAATGATTTCTCACTTCAACAGTGCATTAGCATTCTAGAACTAACATCCAGCAAGCTTTTCACTGGAGTTAGTGAGACCACCATAAGCAGCATACGTCTCACTCGGCACTCCAGTATTTTGGAAAATAAGCGTTTTAGAGATCTATCCATGATTCGTATCTTCGTACAACGTTCCTTAGTTTCAACCATACACAAGAAAGCTTGAACTGGATTGGAGACTTCAAGTTTCCCCATAGGAATTTCATTTTTGCCAAAAGCAGGGAAGATAAGGGTGGCCACTTTTCCCTGTATTTATCTTTGCTTGGCCCTTTCTGCTTCTTTCAAACACTTGTTCCATCATTTTTGTTGAGCGCATGCGCAATATACCGCGGGTGATGCAAAAAACGTGAAATGACATACACGTCGTGGCCTTTCCTGCTGCAGATGTTACCTAAAGCACTAACAGGAGAGAGGCTTCCTGGAAAAGGTAGGATTTAACAGAACCTTAAAGGACAGGACTCTGAGAAAAGGAGAGCGTGCGAGCCTGAGGAAGCTGAGATTGTGGAAAGACGTGTCAACACACTCAAGCAGAGGGTATGTGAGGAAACATACAAATCCAAGTAAGAGAAGGAAGCTGATTCCTGGGTGATGGTCACAATGCCCAAGGCTCCCACCTCAAAACCTGCCTGACTGGAAACTCTTGTCAATGTCCCCGCCTCATAGAATTACCCCAGGTGTGGTCAACTGAGCACCAGTTTTCCCAGTCCCCCTAATATTATACACGTGATCTCTTCCTACCTGCGAGGGTGACCGAGGCCGGGCTGGTGCAGGAGATGCAGGTGCCAGCGTGTGATTTGGACTAGCTGTCGGGCTTGGGATGGGTGAAGGCTCCTCGGGCGGCGATGGCGTCTTTGCAATACGGAGAGGACCCGAGTCGCTGGATGAACACAGAGGGTAAGCAGGGCTCCTTCTAAGGAACAGTACTTATTTCTCAGGGGCCCTCCTTCCCACAGAAAAACTGAGGCACTCCAGGTACTGCTGGTTATCTACTCCCTCTTCCTGTTAATTCTGCTTATTAGCAACGGTGATGCGGTAACTGGTACTATGTATTGTCCACTGTGCGTCAGATCCCGTTCATGTATTATCTCTAATCATCACAAGACCCAGGCACGACTGTCCCCACTTTACAGGTCAGTAAAGTAGGGCACGGAGAGGATAAAGATCCCTGAAGTCACTGGGCAATTTAGTGGATGTGAATTCTGGCCTTGGTAATGCGAACCCCTGTTCTTTCCACTGGGCCAGACAGACTCTGCAAGGATCTTCCAAACATAAGCTGAATTAATTGAACTAATTTCACTTTTGATTTTTAAGAGAATCTTGCTATGGCATAATCTATAGCAAAACCTACCCCCCAAATGATTCATGGGGTATTAAAAAAAGGATAGCACTCATTAAGATTTTGTAGGAGTGCTTTCTGATGACATTTAGAAATTAATTCATTATTTCTCCTTCTACACCTTATGGCACAGTGACTCAGCTCAGACAGCCTGAAACTGCAAACACATTACGTGATAGATGAGAGTCTGTACTGTTTCCTGAGAGCCCACTACATTCCTGGCACCAGGCCAGATGCCTGTCGTCAGCCCAAATGCAACGGCTAAGACACGACTCGGGATCCATCCTACTCTCTAAGAATTTCTAAACGCTACAGATTGAGGGAACAAGGTCTGCACCCCCAAATAAATGAGCATGTACACAGCAGCAGGGTCTACGTATTCAAGGGGCTGAGGGAATGGGTCCCGTGGACAAGACGTGGACGCATGCATGATTGGGGCCGTGCCAGCAATCATGGCCTCTGCTGGGAAGCACAGCCCCCAAATCTATGCCAAATGGAGACCCCGCTGAGCTCACTCACCACCTTGTTCTGCGGAGGAACATGGAAAAAAATGAAGAACGTTTGTCAAGTGGTCGTGGCCCCGCTTTTTCTTCATTGTATCTGATTCAGCAACATTGCAACTTCCAGATGCCTTTGTCCCTTTCCTCTCCGTGTAAGGGAACAACCTTTTCCCATGCACTGCATCTCTAAATCACCCAAATGTCACTGTGATACTCTTATTACAATTCTTTCTTGGTTTCTAACCTCATATTGAAATAATTGTATTGGAAACAGCAGCTCTATCCCTTTCCTGTATTCTTTTAGGCAACATTCTTTCTCTTAGACAAAGAAAATATACTTAATGCTCACTTAGAATAGCAGCCAGAGTAGGGACTACAAGTACAGCTAAACCAAGGGGCACCAACTAAGAAAATTACCTATTTCCGGGGAGTTCCGAACACTGATATACGGAGGTGGATATGTGGAAGTGGCGGTGCCTGTGTTAAGAGTATGTGTGTTTTTATAAATGCGTGTGTATCATATATACATCGACTGATGTTAAGATCATAAGTACAGAATGTCAGGACTGCATATTACCTTAGAAGCTGTTTAGTTCAATAGCACATTTTTATTTCTGTTGATTAAAAAAGAGCTCTTAAACCAGAGAGGTTATTGAACTTACTCAAGGAAGGCACAGCAAATTAACTGCAGAGTCAGAAACTTGAAAGCCGAGCCTTCTGACTTCCAACCCAAGCCTCACTAGCCTACACTACTTGAGTACATAATGTCTGAGAAGGATGGATAAAAGGGATTCCCAAATCACAGGAGAAAGCTGCTGTGAATCCAAACCCTGGCAATGTAGACCATTTACTTACGGATCACTGAGGCTTTGGTATATCTGACTGGTGTACTCAAAATAAAACCAAACCAACATTCAACAAAACAACGCAGTGCTTGCAAGGTCAAGTTTGGAGGTAAGATGAGGTCTCACCTACTTCCTTTCTCCTTTCCCAAAATGGATTCATTAAAGGTATAAGTACCAATAATAAGTATCAGGACTAACTGTTGTGAGTTTGGGGAATTCCCTTCTTCTCCAAATAAAGTAACAAGTGCACAACTAGAAATTATATGTAAGGGACGTCCCTGGTGGCGCAGTGGTTAAGAATCCGCCTGTCAATGCAGGGGACACGGGTTCAAGCCCTGCTCCGGGAAGATCCCACATGCTGCGGAGCAACTAAGCCCGTGCGCCACAACTACTGACCCTGAGCTCTAGAACCCGGGAGCCACAACTACTGAGCCCACGTGCCACAACTACTGAAGCCCGCGTGCCTAGAGCCCGTGCTCTACAACAAGAGAAGCCACCGCAATGAGAAGCCCGCACACTGCAACGAAGAGTAGCCCCCCACTTGCCGCAACTAGAGAAAAGCCGGTGCACAGCAACGAAGACCCAACACAGCCAAAAATAAATAAATAAAAATAAATAAATTTATTTAAAAAAAAGAAATTATATGTAAAAAGCTGACACCACTGCTGGAAAGCAGAGAGAGGTAGATATCAACTCTATCGTGACAATGACAAAAGTCCATGGAGATTCATCTGAAGGCTAAAAGTCAACATAAAAGCACAGAACTAAGGCTGGCGTCAGCCTCCAGATGGAAGGGCTCCTTGGTTTTAGATCGTTGGAGGATGAGTAAAAGACCATAGGCTGATACAGACTGCAGAATTTGCAACAATCCCTGCTTTCAAGGTGTACAGACATGAACTTGGCTCTGATGAACATGGCCTACCTGGGAGCTCCTTGAATGGTGAAGGCCTTGTCAGCGTGCTGGTCACCCAATTTCGTCATCACTTCATATAGTTTGTGGCAAAGCTAAGGGGACAGAGGCCACTGCTGTAAGTCATTCTAGTGCAAATTCAGGCTACTGACCCCAGAAAGGAATTGTTTATTGAAAAACTAAGAATCTTATGATAGTATGGATGGTCCCAGGATAAGTTAACCTCTGGACAGGGTTCAACTTAAAATTCATGTCAAAACTGTCAGGCCACAAACACAAATAAACACATATATATGCAAACCAGAGCAGGAAAACTTATTGTTTACATTGATTCCATTAGAGATAAAGTCATACAACCTCCCTGCTGAACTAAGAAAATATTAGTCGATGACAGAGCTGCTGACTATGTGAATATCTGGAAACCAATTTCTCCTGAGCCTAAAGGCTTGGAAATCCAACTTTAAAAACTGACTGAAGGAAAAAAAAAAAGACTGTGAGACTGTAGCAAGCAGGCAGGGATTCATGAAAGCACAAACTAAAATCTTTACCAGCTATACAGAACCATGTGGTCACTACAAAAAAAATGTAGAAATATTATTGAGGGTCATGACACACTATTAAAAGAAACATGAAAGAGAGTGAATTCTTTGCATAATGCCGTGCCATTTCATCTGCTTCCAGAACAAACATTCATTTACTTTATATTCCATAAGGAAAAACAATCTTCATTACTCACCACCGCAATTTCCTTATGAAACTTGGCCTCTAGGCTAGAGACATTTTTGAAAGTATTGACATAAAATCCAACTCGTCTACCATGTAGAGATACAAAGAGGAAAGAAGAGATGGGAAAGACCGGTCAGCAAAACTGTATTTTCAATGGCAATGACATATATTAAAGACAGATTTTCTTTACGAAATTTTGAATAACGTTGGATTAAATAAAAATGCCTAACCCAGAGTAGGCCCAACCTTTCCTGATTTGTTAATGAAAAAAATAGCTTCTTTTGGTATACAGCACAACCTTTCCTAGAGTGTCGGTAATAACCCCAACAAATGGTTCTCACACTTCAATGTGCACCAGGGTCACTTGGAGGTTTGTTTCTGATTCAGCAGGTCTGAGGTGGGGACTAAGAATTTGAATTTCTAACAAGCTCTAGGTAATACTGATGCTGCTGGCTCAGAGATAACACTTTTGGAACCAGTGCCCTAAACATCTGTAGTTTAGATTTGTATCTTGTAAAAGTTTTCAGATAGAGAAGTTTATTAATTTTTACAAAATATAAATGGTCTAGTTTTGGTATCATATATTTGGATTCTGAAATTTGTTTGATAGAGAGAAATAAAAAAACCTACAAATTAATTACAATTTTTCAGCTGAAGTGAGAGTGTACTTTCATTGAACAAATTAAAAACACAAGCTATTCATTCGCAATACCTCAAACACATTTGTGAAGAAAAGTCATGGTGGGGGGCTTCTGTGAAATGAGCAAGGTCCCCTCAGTCTTCATGTTTAGGTCCCTAATAGTAAGCACACCAGTCAGCCCAGTGGATTCAGCCCAGTATCCCCAGTATAAGCTCCCTCTGCTCTAAATGAGGGCTCTTTGGACTCTATATTTAATTCAGTCCTTCTGACTCCATCTGAGTAAATCACTACTTTGATTTAATTCATGTTCTCTTTTCAGTGACATTCTCAAAAATCATCCCAGAATCCTGATTGGTTAATTAGATTCCAAATGCCAATCAAGAGCAAGAAAGGACCAGAAATACTAAATAGGTCTAATATATGGAGTAAACATATATTCAGGGAGTTTATAATAAGAATACTTATTGGGGAATAAGAATGTGCCCATACACAGTAGGCACTCCTCTTATTTAAACAAAGAGTTGAAAGGGTAGAGAAAAGGGGGCTTCTAGTGGCTTAGCTGTGCCTTGTGGTGAGTCAAATTCCAAACAGTAGAGGTGGATGAATGTTGCATCATCATTAAAGCCAATAAAAGGAAGAGTCATCTAAGCACTTTCTTATATTCCCTCACTTAACCCTCATAACAACCCCCTAGGCAGTGATTCTCATTTTATATCCAAAAAAACTGAGGCACAAGAGTTTTACTGTCCCAGGCCATGCAGTTAACAAGTAGAGAACCAGTATTTGGTTGCAAAAGGAGGAAAACGCAATAGAAAAGCATGGCATGTTTGCCAAGAAATTCTGCTGAAGCGTGAATATTATTTCCATGCTTTCTCATGAATTACATGGTTTGGAATTTTAATAAAATAAAAGCTGGAAGTTCAATTTAGAGGTTCGGAAATGAAACAGTAGTTGAGTGCTACAATCCATTCTACCAATAAGACTTACTTCTCCTATGGCTTAACCTGTACCTTGGATTCCTACCATGTTTCACTTAATCTTTTTTTTTCTTTATAAGATTAGTTTATTTGGGTTTTCTTCATCCTTTTTTCCAGCTTCATTAAGGTCTAATCGACAAATAAAATTGTACGATATTTAAAGCGACATGATGGTGACTTGATATATACACTGTGAAAGGATTCCCCCAACTAGTTAATGAACACACCCAGCACCTCCCATATTTATCTTTTTCTTGTAGAACATTTAAGTTCTATTAGCAAATTTCAACTATATAACACAGTGTTATCAACTACAGTCACCATATTTTACATTAGGTCCTCAGTCCTTATTCATTAGAGCTGAAAGTTTGTACCTTTTACCAACCTCTCCCTACTTCCCCCACCACCAGCACCTGGCAAGCACTTTTCTACACTGTTGTTATGAGTTTGCCTTTTTTAAAAAAAGATACCACATATAAGCGATATCATGCAGTATAACCTCACACCTATCAGAATGGGTATCATCAGAATGACAAGAGAAAACAAATGTTGGCAAGGATGTGGAGAAAACGGAGCCCTTGTGCACTGTTGGTGGGAATGTAAATTGGTGCAGCTGCTATGGGAAACAGTATGGAGATTCCTCAAAAAATTAAAAATAGAACTATCATACGATCCCGCAATTCCACTTCTGGATATATATACATGAGGGAATGGAGACAGAATCTCAAAGAGGTATCACACTTCCATGTTCATTGCAGTGTTATTCACAATAGCCAAGATATAGAAACAATCCGAGTGTCCATCAACTGATGAGTGGTTAAAGAAGATGTGATATATAGATACAATGAAACATTATTCAGCCATGAGAAGGAAGGAAATCCTGCCATTTGTGACAAGACGTATAGACCTTGAGGGTATTATGCTAAGTGAAATAAGCCAGACAGAGAAAGACACATGAATGTTTCGCTCAATCTTAATATTCTTTATCTACAGTGATCATGTGGTCCTGAATTCACCTTTTTCTTTTCATTGATTTAAAGTACAGTTGACCCTGGAACAACACAGGTTTGAACTGTGCAGATCCACTTACACATGGATGTTTTTCAATAAAGATAGTACCTGTATTTTCATTTGACAGATCTTTAAATGAACTAACTGTAGGGAAAAGCTTGTGTTCAATAAGAGATCATAATATGTGGAGTCAAAAGAACTAGGGTTTGAGTTCTGATTCTAGCTGAACTGTTTCAGTTTCCTGCCCTTGGACGAGTCATTTATCAATTCTTTTGTTTTTGAGGCAGAGCTAGCAGTACTCGGATTTTAGACCGTATGGGGGTCAGCAACCCTGCGTTGTTCAAGAGTCAACTGTAATATACATAATCATGTATATGTCTGTATACACACACACACATTAATAAAGAAAATCCTGGCACAGTGTGTTTGGGAAATAGTTAGTACGCAGAGGGTCAGATCAGAAGCCTGGGAGGTGACAGCCTGGGGAGACAGAGGACCTTCCAGACCAGGAAGCACGCATTTATTTGCAGGCAACAGTTACTTACAACCCATGGCCCTGTTGGACCTGGGGGAAGGAGAGGACTTGGACCTGTATTTGAGGAAGCTAACTAAGGCAGAGGCTGGATGGGAGAGGAGAGACTGCACGTGTCCTGACAACATCGTGCAGAGGGACCCAGCTCTTGCATGGTTTGCAAAGGAGTCTTCCTGGGGCACTTGAACTGGCAGACTAGGACCCCAATCATGCAGACAGTAGTTCCTCATTCAATTACTAGACAAAGAGACTATCTAACTCTGGCTGCACACCTGGTGGTAGGCTGAGGTGGCACCAGACACTAACAGTCCAGTTGGAGGGGCACGTGAGGGCTGACTGATGAACATATGCTCCATTCATACTGGTGAGAGAAAGAAGCAGATTTCAGAACACAGTGCGAGTGTTAAAGGTACCACAAAAGGCCATACGTGGTTAAATAGCAGAAATGAGCAGATACGCCAGAAACAGCTGAAGGAACCAAGAGGAGAGGAGAGTGATGAGCCCTGTGCCAGCTGCAAACATCTGCTTGAGACGACAAAGAGGCTGCCCTGAAGAAGGGTCAGATTTAAATAGAGATGGGGGAGTGGGATGAAGTTGAAGTTGATGGTGGGTATCGTTTGCTTTGCATCGATTTTTCACTATAATAAACAAAACCCTAATGAAGACCTATGACTTGAACTCTGGGTCCAGCTTTACTAGTTCCTTTGAATAAGCTTCTTGACTGTAAATGCTGGGTGAAAGGCACAGAAAACAGAAGCTTCGATGGGCACTGCTGACCTGCTCCCCCTTCTGTTCCCTCAACTTTGAATGTGACTTCACACAAAACCTTTGTAAATATGATGAGAAAGAGTTAGCATCTCACCAACTATTTAATTATGTGTGTTCCTTTAATGAAAGGTGAGTTAACATTTTTCTGTTCATTTATCGCCCATTTGAATTTCTCCTTTTGTGAGTCATCTATTCCTAGTTTGCTTATTTCTTGGTGTTGTTTTATTGTTATTTATTTATAAGGGATTTTCTATTAAACATATTGAACTTTGAATACATTGAGCAAAAACAAGAATCCCCTTTCTTCTATCTTTAAATTCTGTTTCCTGATACACAGCATATCTTTTTTATAGCAATGATTATTTAGAGAAATAACTGGCACTAGAGAGAAATACCTTATTTAGAATGACTAAACAAACATCCACAATTTTCTAATATGTTTATTGTTTCCTTTTAGAACTGAGAAATTAAATCAACTAGATGTATTCAATTGAGAAAAAAGTTCAATATTTTTAATGCAACTTATCATATAGTGATTCTCTCCTATTTACGAAATCAGAGATTCTTTCAAAGTAGGGACTGCCTTGGTCTAGTTCGTGAGTATAGGCCCAGCACCTAATGTAGCAGAACAGGACAGAACAGGCATACAGTAAATAGTCCATGAATAGGGCTTCCCTGGTGGTGCAGTGGTTGAGAGTCTGCCTGCCGATGCAGGGGACACGGGTTCGTGCCCCGGTCTGGGAAGATCCCACATACCGTGGAGCGGCTGGGCCCGTGAGCCATGGCCGCTGAGCCTGCGCGTCCGGAGCCTGTGCTCCGCAACGGGAGAGGCCACAGCAGTGAGAGGCCCGGGAACACAAAAAAAAAAAAAAAAAAAAAAAAAAAGTCCATGAATAAATGAATGAATGAATAAGCAAATGAACAAACCAATGAATGAACAAATGTGGCACTCATTCCACTGGAAGGGCACATTCTGACTATAACCTTGGCTTCTAAAAAACTAGCATCACCAGCAGTAAGATATACACCCACAAAGAGTACCAGGCTCTGAATTCTGATATCGTCTGCTTGGGAGGTTTCATTTCACAAGTTCTTCATAAACAAGAGACTCTGAGACATTAGCATTTCCCCAAAGGACTTGTCTGAGGCCTTCTCAGGTCCCTCCTGGTCAGTTGTCAAGACCAACTTAATTTCTTTATTAAGATGTTTCTTTGTTCTCGGAAATGGTGGAAAGGATTAAAAGCTCAGCTTACCGCAGTCCCAGCTTGCCACCCAGGACGCTCGCACCTCAGCACTGCCCTGAGGGAAGCCTGTCCCCCCGGGAGCTGGTCACTGTTTCCCCCAGAGCCCCCTACAATGGAAGAATAATACTCTGCCTATAAGTCTGTTTCTGTGTCATAGATAGGTTCATTTGTGCCATATTTTAGATTCCACATATAAGTGATATCATACGGGATTTGTCTTTCTCTTTCTGACTTAACCTCACTTATGATCACGTCTAGCTGCATCCATGTTGCCGCAAACGGCATTATTTTGTTCTTTTTTATGGCTGAGTAGTATTCCATTGTATATACGTACCATATCTTCTTTATTCATTCATCTGTCAATGGACATTTAGGTTGCTTCCATGTTTTGGCTATTGTGAATAGTGCTGTTATGAATAGAGGGGCGCATATATCTTTTTTAATTAGAGTTTTCATCTTTTTCGGATATATGCCCAGGAGTAGGATTGCTGGATCATATGGTAATTCTATTTTTAGTTTTCTGAGGAACCTCCATACTGTTTTCCATAGTGGCTGCGCCAATTTACAGTCTCACCAACAGTGTACAAGGGTTCCCTCTTCTCCATATCCTCGCCAAGATTTAGGATTTGACTTAAAGCAGTGTTGCAATGACAAGCACAATTCTGTTTATTCAGGGTGGTAGCATGGGGGTGCTGATGGGAATTGAGAGATATAAGGCCCCACTTCACCCAACAGCTTCTTGTTCAACCACTGAGTGGGGAAAACTGCACTTAATGGCATGAGAAATGCAGAATACCTATAAATGGGAAGAATGGTTAACATCTAAAATAGGAATGAAGTTCAGGTTAACAGGTAAGGGCTGAAAGTAGAGGCTTCGTATCAAAGACGGAAGACTAGATGAGCTATTGGAATAAAGGAAGTTCTTCCAGAAGCTAAAGGAGTATCCTTGTAAATTTCAAGGTTAAGGACAGTTCTCCTAATGCTTCTTAGCTGAGATTTGGGTCTCCACCTGAGAAATATACCAAGGTCTAAGACTGTGCCATCCAATGGAGCAGCTGCTAGCTACATCAGGTTATTTAGATTTAAAAGAGTTAAAGAGAAATCATTTTAATTTAAAATTCAGTTCCCCGGTCACATTAGCCATATTCCAAGTGCTCAACAGCTAACCACGTGTGGCAAGTAGCTACCATATTGGAAATTACAGATTACTGAACACTTCTATTGCACAGTGCGGAAGTGTCACACGGAATAAGACAAGATAAGGAATATTCTCTGTTCGTGAACTTCTATAACCTGTACAGAAACATCTTTACCTTGACCATAATGATGGTAACTCTTCTTGTAAGTCAACGTTAAACTCTTCAAACACTTTCTGTGCTTTCTGAAATTCCTCTTCTGCCTAGAAGTGACACATAACATGTTTACACTAAAAAATATCACATAGACACAGCCATTTCTAGACACAACATCGCTTAATATAAAATAGGAATAGCTTTATGGCATCCCGGAAACATCTTGGGAAGCAGAGAATCTGGTAAAAATCCACAAGATTTTTTTCAGTAAAAGTGAAATACTGGGGACTTCCCTGGTGGTGCAGTGGTAAAGAATCCACCTGCCAATGCAGAGGACATGGGTTTGATTCCTGGCCCGGGAAGATCCCACATGCTGCGGAGCAACTAAGCCCGTGCACCACAACTACTGAGCCTGCGCTGTAGAGCCCGCGAGCCACAACTACTGAGCCTGTGCTCTAGAGCCCACGAGCCACAACTACTGAGCCCACATGCCACAGCTACTGAAGCCTGAGTGCCCAAGTCCGTGCTCTGCAACAAGAGAAGCCACCACAATGAGAAGCTCACGCACTGCAACAAAGAGTAGCCCCTGCTTGCCGCAACTAGAGAAAGCCCACGTGCAGCAACGAAGACCCAATGCAGCCAAAAATAAATAAATTAATTTTTAAAAAAGTGAAATACTGAATCTTATTTCAAAAGGAAAACGTGATTGATTACAATGGTTGCTCTTGCATCTCTTACAGAGTCATTCACTCTACAAAAATGCATTAACAGCCTGTCACATACACTGCTCTGCTCAGGATGCTGGACACGGATGCTTCTCCAAGAAATTCCCTGTCTAGTGGGAAGTCTAAGTAATTACACTACAAGAAAGGGCTTATAAGCTGTTACGGAGCATGCTATTAAGGAAGATGGTGCAAGGAATCGAGAAGGTTCCATAGGGCAGGTGATGTTTTAACTTGATATCAAATCTTGAAGAATGAGCAAATGCTTGCTAACAAAGGGGATGGAGATTGGACTGCAATACATAGAAGGTGGAGTTGCTGGACTGGGGATGCGAGCTCACTAACCATGTGGACTTATCAGGCTGCTCCACCTTTGTGCACCTCAAATCCGTAAAATGCACATAGCAATGCCCACCTCACAGGTGTTGTGAGTATTGAAGAAAGAGGATGTAAATGAAGTGTTGAACATGGTGCCTGGCACCTCAGGGGCCTCGCGTGAAGGGCAGCTCTTATCACAGCCGCTCAGCAGCTGGTATTGTAGGTCACAGAGGCTCCAGCTTAGGACATGTGTAGAGGGAGGAAAGGAGGGGAAAGAAGACTTGAAAGTTGACAAGGACGGAGAGGTGAGTCAGAACCAAGTTGCGAAGGTTGCATGGGCTATAGTAAGGAATCTAGAATTTTTTTTCTACAGGCAGTGGGAGCCGTTAAAAGACTTAAGCAGTGGAGAAACTCTATCTAGATATGTGCTGCAGAAAGGCCATCCAGGCAGCTGTGTGTGTGCAGATGGGGGAAGGCAAGACTGGAGGCCAAGTGAGAAGTCAGCAGGTGTCTCCCATGAGTTGCCAGCCGATGACTGACATACATGGTAAAAGCTCTGGAAATGGGTTTTCTAAAAGAAAAAGAACGTCATGCAATTGTAGTACACATCTGTACGCTCAAGCACAATTTATGCCTGAGAATTTCACACTCGATTTCCTAGCTGAATCTGCATCTGGCATCAAGTATGGAGCACGACCACAGAAAGAATGTAAGGACGCGTTACTTTCTTTGATCAGGCAGTACTGTTGGGGGCGAACGTTTATGATGATGAAAATGTGAGTCAGTGTCACCCATGTGAACTCTACTGTGACCTGAAAACCCTTAATGTTACTTGAAAATTATGAACAGCAGCCCACAAGCACCGTGCTTCAGTTTCAATTCTGTCCTGATTCCCATCTCCATGAGAAAGGGAAGATTTCATTTTCAAAAGCAAAGTTGCGATGGGTCACAGAACATGGAGAGTGGTGACAACAGTGGGATCGGCCCCTACCTTAGAGATGCGACTCTCGTCCTTCCTCTTGGAGCTCTGCAAAGCCTCCAGGTGGTGGCGGGCACTGTCGTAGTCCACCAGTTTCCTGCTGCGCTTTGCGATGCGGTTCTGCCAACAGGGAAACATATGCGCTAAGAAAGAGACGCGGTCCCAGACTCTCTTCTTGACTGCCGAAATGCCTTCCTTGTCCGCAGTAGCTGGGGACCTTGACCGGAGATCGAGGCGAACCAGAATTTCACTAGACAAATGACCCCTGGAAAACAGACTACAGCTTCCGCTCCTTTGTGTGAAAACCATCAGGTAAAGGCCTCCCTTCTGAAAATAATTAGGACAATCGTAAGGAGGTGAAGGCAGAATTTGCAAAGACCAGAGAAATTCCAGAACTGGTTGAGGGAAGCACCTAAACCTATACTCTCTGTTAGTCTCTATTCTAGATCTTTAAATGTTCCATTCTGAAGATAGTATAAGACTATATTAGGATTTGGTTTTATAATTCTCATAGCACTCACACTAACAGCAGTTCTATAAATCAGATTTACTTCCTAAGAAACCCTTCTGCCTAGAAGTGTTTGTCAATCCTTTTGTTCATTCAAATCATCTGAGGAGATTTAAAAATATATTGATTTCTAGAGACTTTTGTTTCCAGTTAGGATATAGAGAGCTGCAAACAATGTTACGGTCACACTAGCAAGAAAAAAATCTGGATAATTTATAAAAGCATAAATTGTCTTGATTGTATCACACACATGAGGTCATATGGCAATAAAGGAATCTCAATTCCAAAGAGGGATGAGTCTCTTCAAGGAGAGACGAGACATACCAACTCTTTCACCTTTGGCAGGTAAAAGCTGTGGCCACCATACAAGTGGACAAGAAGTAGACAGCTAAAATTTTAACACATTGTTTAAGGTCTATTGTGGACTAACGTGTCAGTTTGGGATAGCTGGGTGTCCAAGACACAAAGGGAAGTTGCACTTACGGGCAAGCTCTTTCCTTGGGCCTCCATTGGATGCTATGAGAAAGTCTGGGGACAAGACACTTCCTTGCAGTGCAAGGGAGAATGAGATGATCTCTGATGGCTATGGGGGTAGAAAGACAAAGCTCTGCCCATTCCCTTGGACATTTTTCTCTTTACAAAGCAAAAGCCTTAAGCCACTTGAGGAGGAAACAACAGATCCTCTGGTCCACAGAGACCAGGCAGAGATCCACTGATGCTGGGGGAAAGGTAGAAGCAAAATCAATCTGGCCCCAGTGATGGATAGGAATCCCTTGGGCCCCTAGATATATTCAAAAATAATTGTAACACACAGAAGAGTGGGAGAAAAAAATCTCAACCCATAGGGGAGGAACATAAAACCCTCTTGGGCCCAAGATCTGATTCCTATAACAAGAAGAGGTCTGATCCCACTTTGGCAGGGTCAGAAAACTCCTGTTCAAGCTCAACCACAGATACGAGGCCGACTTTGCCTAAGACAGGCCAGGAAAGTATAACATAAAACAGCCTTGCCTCAACTCCAAGCCCAGCACTGAATAACAAGAAACAGCTGCCTACCACTGGAGAAAGGCCAAGTGTATGGAGAGAGACTCCCTCTGAAACACTGGCACACAAGGACACCTGAAATCTGAGGGAGGCAGGAACACGGAGAAAAACTCTCTGGCATCCAAGGGCCCAACCAATGTGGGTCAAAGTAGAGGCAAAAACTAGACTTCAACCCAAGAGCCTGAAAATTTTATAGATGTTAGACTATACGTGCAAGGTATTAGCAGCCCAATTCTAGAGGAATTTGAAAGCGACAGTGCACCGAAAGTAACAATAGCAACAACAAAACACAAGTCCAGCTCAAGGTGCAAGCAGAGTAATTTGAACTGTCCCACTACTGGCTTGACAAAAAGGCACGCCCATTTCCAGGCATAAACAGTACTCCAGTCTTCACTATTCTATACACGATGTCTGGCATTCAATCAAAAATTCTGAAGCACACACCTTAAAAAAAAGAAAAGTGGCCCATGAGAAAAGACAGAGCAAGCAACAGAACCAGACATGACCCAAATGTTGGAAGTACTAGTATTTTTTTTGGGGGGGCTGCACCCATGCAGCATGCGCGGTCTTAGCTCCCCAACCAGGGATTGAACCTGTGCCCCCTGCAGTGGAAGTACAGAGTCTTAACCACTGGACCGCCAGAAGTCCCCAGTCAGTAATTTTAAAATAACTATGACTAATATGTTAAAGTATCTAGCTGGAAAAGGTAGACAAAATACATAAACAGATAGGGAATGTCAACAGATACATGGAAATTCAGCTAAATGGAAATCAAATGGAAATGATAAAATTTATCAGAGAGGAGAAATTTCTTCATTAGACTTAAAACAGCTGAGGAAAGAAACAGTACAGTTCAAGATAAACGAAATGAAGAGAAAATTTTCTCATTAAAACACAAAGAGAGGGACTTCCCTGGTGGCACAGTGGTTAAGAATCCTCCTGCCAATGCAGGGGACACGTGTTCGAGCCCTGGTCCGGGAGGATCCCACATGCCGTGGAGCAACTAAGCCCGTGCGCCACAACTACTGAGCCTGCGCTCTAGAGCCCGCGAGCCACAACTACTGATGCTGCGTGCCACTACTACTGAAGCCTGCACTCCTAGAGCCTGTGCTCCACAACAAGAGAAGTGACCGCAATGAGAAGCCCACGCACCACAACAAAGAGTAGCCCCGCTCGCCGCAAGTAGAGAAAGCCCACACCCAGAGATGAAGACCCAATGAAGCCAAAAATAAAAATTAATTAATTTTTAAAAATCACTAAAGAAACTGCCACGAAGTGAGCAAAAGTTTAAAAATAAACAGAATCAAGCATACAAGACCAATACAATATCAAACAGTCTAACATCATGTAACTGGAGTCTCAAAGAGAGGAGAGGGAGAGGCAGAGAAATATTTGAAGTGATAATGGCTGGGAATTTTATAAAATAAGGAAGACATCAGAGTACACATCCAAGACCTTCATAGAATCCCAAGAGGGATAAATACCAGACAAGACACAGACAGCTACACCAAAACCAAACTGCTTCAAATCAAGAATAAAGAAAAAAAATAAGTACAAAGGTAAGAATTGCACAGTCTTCAGAAACTGTGCAGGCCAGAATACAATGGAGTAGCATCTCTTAAGCACTGCAAAATAAAAAATCAAGAGAGATTTTTAGAATTCTATTCCCAGTGAAAATACCTTCCAAAAGTAAAGGTGAAATACACGTTTTTTAAAAGACAAACAAAAGCTGGGGGAACTCATTGCCATATACGAATTTTAATACCAACAGGAGCTGTACAAAGAAATGAGTACCAGAAATGGTAAAAATTAAGGTAAATAGACAAGATTTTGGTTTTTTACTTTGAATTGCTTGAAAAGGTCACTGAACGAGAGAAAAGCAGAAACAATAGATCGTGGGCTTTATAACCTATGTATAGGGAAAATATATGACAATAAGAGCGCAGGGAATGGAGGGAGGAGCTGGAAATACACTGCTATAAGGTTCTTAGACTGTACATAAAGTGCTGCAACGTTACCTGAAGTTAGACAAGTTAAAGATGTACATTGCAAACTGTAGGGCAACCACTAAAAATTAAGTTAAAGAGGAACAACTAATAAGCAAGTAGTGTAAAATATACTGATTCCTGAGCCCCAGACTAAGAGATTCTGATTTAGTTAGTCTGAGGCAAAGTCCAGGCATCTGTCCTTTTAAAAAAAATCCCCAGGGGTCTAGTTGTGCCCAGCTAGTCTAATACTGAGAACTGCAGAAGAGGATCCCTAAAAAACTTTAAATTTCATAGGGTAGGAAGAAGAAAAACAACAATAATATAAATGTTTATCGTTTACAAAACATAGTCCTCTGGGTCTTCACAGCAATGCCCAGTATGGGTGTTTCAGGGATTTTCCCATTTTACAGGTAGGGAATTTGAAGTCGCATGAGATTAACCTCTAACTTGTCCAGAATTACTCAGAAAGTCTGTGGCAAAAGATGAATTAGGTATCAGCCCCGGGACCAGTGCCAAGAGTAGGGTGACTCCAGTGAGACACCTAGGGCACAATGTTTAAGGAGGCTCTCACTCTTGGGGTAATGTTAGTGCAGGGTCAGCAGTCCACATAGGACTTTGAACCCTCGTGCCCTCACCTGTCTCACTCAGTCCCTGCCCCTGATGCTTGGTTAGTACTCTTTCTAGCACTTCCCAGGTGTCTCTGACAGACTCTGTCATCCAGCTACCATCTGTCACTCTGTGCTACTCCTCTACACCCCCTTCAGGGGTGATGACAGGTAGGGCGGGCAGTTACACTCATTTAGCTGCTTCCAATCCCTTTCACTTTATCCTCTGCACCGACCACTTCCGACTGGCGTCAGTGGAAGGATGGCTGACATACCACGTTCACTCAAAATATGTGATGAATTAGCCCAGCAGGGTAGAGAGAAAGGTGCTAACAAGGTGACAAAGCTCATTACTTTCAGCAGACACCTGTTACCTTCCAAGGAGCACCGCCCCTTGAGGTAGTGGCCTTGTGTAACTCTGTGGAAACTTTTACAAAGCTCTGCTTTGTGGACTTGGTCGGGGGTGGGGAGGTTGTCCTTTAGTATCTTCCAAAAAAGCAAATCTTGATGCTTTGAAGATAAACTTGATTTTCGAAAAGAGGCAAAATTCAATTACTTCCAAGCCTGCGAACAGTGCACTGGATCATCTTATTTTTTGTTCAAAAGCAAGAAGTGAAGTAAATAATGTGAGGCATTTTCTTGTGTAACTGACAAGTTAATTACGGAGTACAGCTTACCATGGTAGAAGTGACATTTTGAAGGCCATCACTTATTTTGATGCATATATTTTTGTGTTGGCAAAACACATCAATCTTATTGCCTTACCTACCTGATATTTGGGAAACCTGAAAAAAGAATCACATCTCCTAAGAAAGGGTAGAGTTAATACACTATAGATTTCACATGGAAAATGATACACTTCTTATTTAATCATCCAATGGTAAATTTTATTAAATTTACTAGCTTAATCGTTTAATTAAATGGCTTTTAAATATTTACTTATTTTAGTTATGTATTTATTTTTATTATTTTTGGCTGTGTTGGGTCTTGGTTGTAGAGTTTGGGCTTCTCTCTAGTTGTGGCGTGTGGGTTTTCTCTCTCTAGTTGTGGTGCTCGGGCACGTGGCTCTGGAGCTGTGGGATCTTAGTTCCCTGACCAGGGATTGAACTTGTGTTCCCTGCATTGGGAGGTGGATTCTTTACCACTGGACCACAAGGGAAGTCTCAATTAAATGGTTCAATTAAAAGTTCTTCAGATTCCCCACTATTCATTGACCGTATGCAGTAAAGAAAATAATTTACTAAATTTTAAAAAAATTTCAACAATAACCCCAATGTGGAATTCATTTTGGCCCACTGCTGTAAATATATGCTTAATGGCTCATGCACAGCTGCTAAGATAAAATCTAAACTTCATTTTACAATAACTGCTAACAGCTGTAAGCCTGTGCAGGTTGGGGACAAGCTGGCTCTTATTCCAACATTGATTTTAGATATCAGCGCTGCACAACAAAAACTGTAACACCAGGTGCCCTGCCAATCACAGCTGGAAAAGTCAAACACCATTCCCTCATGAATGGTACTGCATAGCCCTTGCTGATGGGCTGCAGTAAATATTTGGAAATTTGCCTCACCATGCACACCCTGTTGATGTGAATGAGTTAAGGAAGTCAACTGTGTTCCAGGCTTTGAAAATGCTCCACTGTATTTTTAATCATTAATCCTCCTTTTCATCAATAACCCATTCACTACATAATCTCTCAGCACTCACTTTATGAAGTGACAGAGTCTGTATCCACGTCTAACTTCCGTCCATTGAGTAAAAGGCACAACATCTGTGTATGTTCACGGAAGAAGTCTTTCAACTATTAGAAACAGCTATCCCCACTGCTCTCCAACCCCAGGTTGTTTCCTTTCCAAGTTAAACACTGCTATTTCCTTCACTGTTCACCATATGAAATGGTTTCACAATTGTCTATCTTGGTTGAAACCCTATGTGTATGCTCTAATATTCGAAATGTGACTTCAGAGAAACAGAGAGAGAGATTATGTAGGCTCTTTCCACGATGCAGGTAAAACCATATTTCATTTATCTTCAGGGAATCCAGCTACATAACATGATTCCAAATCTCTCATGTAAGATCATCATTGTGTGTGACCTCAACCATGGACACCATGGACCACAGGAAAAGAACTGCTTAAACAGAATAAAAGGACTTCCCTGGTGGCTCAATGGTTAAGAATCCACCTGCCAATGCAGGGGGCACGGGTTCGAGCCCTGGTCCGGGAAGATCCCATATGCCACGGAGCAGCTAAGCCCTTTCACAACAACTACTAAGCCCACGTGCCACAACTACTGAAGCCCATGTGCCTAGAGCCTGTGCTCCGCAACAAAGAGAAGCTACTGCAACGAGAAGCCCGCACTCAGCAACGCAGACCCAATGCAGCCAAAATTTAATTAATTAATTAATTAATTAAAAAATAGAATAAAAGTTCCACTGAGTGTTTCAACAAACTGAAAAGACTAACCAACATAATCCATCATGAGTTTATTTTAATCTCTCTGTTTCAACAAAGGTACTTCTGTATGTCTTCTGAAATTTTACGCTCCTAGAGAGAATGGTCAATTTCCAAACAGCTATTGCTGGGCAGTATCATAACAAATAACAGATAACAAACAGATCCTTCACACATTTTTGGTGATACTAAGTTTTTGTTCCTGAAGCTCAACAACTTTTCAAATGTATTCTTCTGTAGTCAATCACAGCCTTTATTTGCTTATCGAAGTTGTACTATCAAATATTATATGACTAATTTAGACAAGTTGCGACGTTCTTTGAAATTTTCAAGTAGGAAGACAAACGTTTCTTTTACGTAATTTATTAGGAATTGATTTTTATGGAGACTGAATTACCATGCAATAAACAGTATTCTAAAGCGTGATAATAATTCTGAGACTGTTTGCTCCACAAATGCTGCAAATTCCAAGGCAAAATGTCAATGCCTATCAAATTATCTGAAGATACCTCAAAACACATTCCCTGTGTACAGAATTTTAACTTTTTAAAAAATTGCTTTAATTTCTCAGAAAATTTTTAAAACTGACTTAATACCTTTCCAAATTAAGATGGAGCTATACAATGACCCGGTAAAGCATTCTGCTGCCTATTATGATAACATCACCTAGAATTCGTCATTTGGATTTGTTCTCTGGGACATCTTGCCAACAAGGCTAATATGTCCAGTCTGATCCACTTAGGTTTTTGTCTGGTGCCTCTGGTGTCCCAAAACACACTTCAGGTGTTGGCCATCTAGCGTTAGGCATTCTGTGTGGGACTGAGGAAACTAACAGGAGTATAGTTTTGGCCAAGAAGCTTCACTATGTTTCATGGCCAAGGGCGGTGCACATTATTGCAGATAGTTTCCTGGTGTCTGGCAATGGCTATAAAGAAGGCCAGGTAAAAATGGAACTTCACATCAGAGGTCACCTAGCAAGATACTGAAAATGCCCGTGGACACTGGTTCATGGCCTCCTTGCTCTACAGGAAGGGCAGCACATGGCTGTCTTACCTAGCGGTCCTCTTTGAGCTGGGAGAACAACTAGGGAGCAGATCTATTAATGCTACCATTTGCTATATACAGCCCTGATGGTTTAAAGACTATCTATACCTTAAGAGTCAATTTCAAATCTGTGATATTCAATCCTTCACTTCCTTTCAATGAATCCAAGTGTCGAATAAGACAAATGTTTTAGACAAGGTATTTTTAGATCCAGATGCAAATGTATTTGAAATGCTTACATCTTAAGAATTCAATGTGAACCTGAAAATTTCAAGGAGAGAAAAAATATGCAGGTGTACCATGAACATACACAAAATAAACAGTAAGGAAAAGATCAGATTTTGCTCTCACATGTGCAATGAAGTTTCTCCTTTCCTCATGACCTTTGTTTATTCTAACGGAAATTTTTGCCAAATGCCACATAACCAGAAGGTTTGAACATAAAGAAGACTGGAATTTTTTGGTATCTCTGATTTATGATTTTATATCCATAGGATTAAAAAGACTTCTGTAGAGAAATAAAAGCTGAAGCAGTTCATTAAAGGGGGAAATGTGATTTCTGGAACTATATTTCATTTTAAACTGTTAGGAACAGGATAAAAATCTCATGCTTAAATAAATGAAAAGTTACCAACTGTTTTTGATGTCAGCTTGAGGACTTTTAATTCTACTTATCTCTTGCCCATGTTTTAATAAGAACATGGGACCATTCAATTCTTCCCTTTATAGACACAGAATAAAATACCTTTATGTCAGGAAATTGGCCCAGATAGGTGTCCAGTGTCAGCAAGGACCCATCCACTAGTTTTTGATGGAAGTCTTCCCACAGCACATCACATTTCTGAGAGAAAAAGAGAAATAAAGAGACAACTGCAGAATGATTTTAATTGGATCACTTTCACCAACTTCTAAAAAACCTGAAACTATAAAATTAAATAAGTTCTACTTCCCTGGCTAGTAAATGCTAGAAAAGTGTGGATTATTTAAGAATACAGTAATTTGGCTACCAGTTCTAATTTATAACACAGGCTACCTAAGGGCTCAGCTCATTTAAAAATGTGTTTCTGATTCCGAATTACTAAAGAATGTAGAAACTTCAAAAGGTCCCCCGATTCCTATAAATGGACTTTGGGGCTAGGAGTCTGTGAAGAATTCTACCAAGACAGTTTGCTTCTGAAGCAATCCATGAAATTAGAAACCACTCCAGACAAACAACAAACCGCAGTTGAAGCCTCCACACAGGCAGCAGAAAATTTAGTCATACTGGGAAGGGCCCTACCATTTATGGAATATCAATTGTCATGAACACAATGAGTATTAGATATTATTATTATTGTTACTCCTATTACTGTCAAGGCATTGGGTTAAAAGCTGTATGTGTCTGTGTGTGTGTGTGTGATTTAATTCTCACAATAGCCTTATGAAGAAAGTCTCATTGTTGCCATTATACAGAAGATGATGCTGAAATCCAGAGATGTTACATAGTTTGGCTAAGGTCATGCAGCTGGTATATGACAGACTCTGGTTTCAACCCTTGAATTTGAAGCCCATGATCTGTCGATGACACCAGGCTGCCTCACCAGAACAGGCTGCCTCACCAGTTCATATCCTAGCTGTGTGACTTTGGAAAACTGAACGTTCCTGAGTTTCAATTTCTCCAAGTATGTGCGTTGACAACATAAACTTGCTTCACAGAATCCTAGGCACATGCGCAAGAACGTCATTCCATATTCCTCCCGTTACTACATCTGGCATCTCCTGACAATGTCTACCCTTTCTTTTTTCTTAGCAATAGAACGTCCAGTTTTAGCCGGGCACACGGCTGCCTAGGATACAGACCATACTTCCCAGCCTCCACTGCAGCCAAGTGCAGCCATGAGACTAAATTCTGCCAATGGGATGGACTTTCAGGAAGTGGCCCTAAAAGGAGGCTTGTCCTCCAAGCTTCCTCCTTCTTGCTGACTGGAAGACAAAAATGAGAGCTGATAGCCAGAGCTCAGAGGCATCTTGAACGTGGAGGTGGCAGCAGGGATGCAAAGACAGGCCCCTGATGCTCGTGGGTCCCCCATACCACACCTGGGCTGCCAACCTCCAAGGTCGATAATGGGAGAGAAGAAGCTTCTCTCTTGTTGAAAACCACTTTTTAATGGTTGATTTGCTTCTCTTTTTCACACGTTACAACCCAATTCTAATTGTCATAGATCCTTATTAAGAATTTTATGCAAACAGGGACTTCCCTGGTGGTGCAGTGGATAAGACTCCGTGCTCCCAATGCAGGGGGCCCGGGTTCGATCCCAGGTCGGGGAACTAGATCTCACATGCAAGCCACGACTAAGAGTTCGCATGTCACAACTAAGGAGCCCATGTGCTGCAACTAAGGAGCCCGCCTGCTGTATCTAAGACCCGGCGCAACTGAATTAATTAATTAATTAATTAATTAATTAAAAAAAAAGAATTTTATGCAAACAAAAAAATTTAAGTCCAGCATACAAAGAGGCTTATCTTATGATCTGAGCAGACCCCCTGGACATGCAGTGTCAGGTGCTTCACCATTGAAAGATTCCCCAAATCCTGGCAGCCACAAGGATCAAGGTAGGACAGCAGCTGTTTCCTTAGGAATCAAGGTCAACAGTGGCATTTGCCACACACAGAATTGTAATGTGGTGTTCTGAAAAGCCATTCACACAAGTTTCTAACCATTCCCTTAAAAATTCTTCTTTTCACAATGAATTTTTAATTATACACCTCTAATTGGAAATTTACAAAATGAGTTAAGCCTTTAACAACACGCTGTTGAAACACAGTGTCTTTATATTTAAGAAATGTGAGAAGATGCCATTCCTCAAAACTGCATTGGAAAATGGTGTGTGGAGGCTAGTTTTGCCTAATTCACATACTGAAAGTTTTCGAAAGAGGTAACAGAGCTCACAATGAGCTTTCTTCATAAATAGATCTCAGTTTCTATCATAGTCATAACTGTGGGGATGTCAGAATTTTGGGGAAGCAGCCCAGGAAAGATGTTAACCCATCTTTCCAAAGGCTGCATAGATGATCGGCATGTCATGTACCAGACCCTTCCCTGAGTTGTGGCGGCCATATGTCTTAACTCTCCTGTGCCTCCTGAGAAGCAACGAGCTCCCATGAAGTGGGCATGATGACCAACCATTCTTTGTTTTAACAAAGAGCTTGGACATGAGAAAACCCGGCTGCAGGCTTCCTAAGGTCAGTAATAATCACACACACTGTACACTAGGTCGAGGATGTGAATACACTCAACTTTAAGTGTGTTTTTAGGAGATACAACTATTATTCTCACTTCGCCAATAAGGAAACTAAAGCCCAAGAAGATTAAAGAACTCATCTGACGTCACATCCCATTCCGCTTTCTTCAAAGCAACAATGACCACTTTCTCACTTCCCAGAGCCAGACAGCCCTGAGCTAGACGGTGCATTTCAGGTGTTAAGACATGTCTAAGGACGAAGCCTTTCATTAGTTAAATTCCTATTAGCAGGCCCTGTCCTCAGCCCTGCAGACCAGCGAAGGGACCATCTAGTGGTAAAGTGAATGGGATGCTCTTCCCAGATCCCGTGCCTGCTTTCAAGGAGGGATGGGGAAGAAGGTGCAGTACATAAAATCAGGCCATGAGCCAGTTCTCCTACTGGAATGGGCTAAGAAGTGTAGTAAAGGACAGACAAGTGCTATTCTTATGTTGAACAAAACCAATCTTTAAGCCACAGCTTTCTACCCAAGTGGCTTTATTGTCATGTTCACTCCTCACTGCAAGTTTGGGTTGATCTGGATGGTGGAACTGCACAGTGCCTTCTGGGTACACGGTGCCCCTTCATATTAGGGCCATGAAGCGGTGAGAGGGGGTCAGGGGATAGGCTGAGTGAGCAGGACATGGTGGGAACCTCACAGAAGTCACCCTGGGGCCTCTCACGTGCTGTGACCAGCTCTCACCTCGCCAACCATTTTCACGTCTTCGCGCCCGTACCAGTCAGGCTCATAGACTTCATGCAGCGACTCGGTGAGCTTCATGGAAGCCTCTTGCATGCCTAGCATTGGAGAAAAACAACTCCTGTTAGAGAGAGGTAGGTGAGGAGTCTCTTCCTCCTTTCCCTACTTTTCAAAGTGAGAGGAAAAATCTTGAATACTTGCTAATTGTTTAAGGAAAACCTGGGCAGGCACAATTGCTCTTTGCACCTGTAGTCCTGATTCTGATTACAGTGTGCATTTTCTAGTATTTTCAGGATAAAGATACATGCTGGGTCGTGAAAAAAATCAACAAGGTGTTCTAGTCTAAAAACACCAATAATAATATGTCCTATTATGTGTGCTGTCACTTGCTAAATGGCATGAAACCGTAAATGTATGGGACACCTAGAATACTTACCTATAAAACTAAAGAGTTCTAAAACAACTAATAGCAAATGACTTTAAATATTAGAAATAAAGCATCTGGCGGGGGGAAAGCAGATAGAAGCAAAATCTATAGGATTTTCAGGCACCACTGAAAGGGCTTTAAGTGGCCTAAAAATTTTCAAAAGAAACAAGAAGTTGTTCTTTTTCTAATATTACTAAAAGCTTATACATACAGTTTTAAGTCAGAACTCTCAGAAAGCTTAGCGTTCTTAAGTCTATGGGTATTTTCAGAATTTTCGTTAAGGTACAATTTGGTATGTTACAAAAATATGGTTATTAATAATAGGAAAGATAAAAAGTTCCCCAGTGCAACATGGTGATACAAAGTATCACAAAGTCTTTTCCAGACTCCCTCTGCCCCTCCTTCAAAACATGGAGGGTAAAGTGTGGATTGCCGTGGAGACAGCTCAGGGTTGGGGACAGAACAAGGTGGAGTCTTTGGCTGGCGACTTGGAGAAGCGCCTCTTTGGCACCAGACTCTCCCTCACAGCTGGAAGGTGAGACCTGACCGAGTTGGTGTCCTGGTCTTTGTCACTAGGGGATATGAAAAGGGGCTGGATAGAAGGAGAGGAGAGAAAAACCACAGTGCTGCCATTAAAAATAAAAGACACATAAACTTAATGCCAATGAATCAAAGAGGGAAATTTTTTTGTTAAACTGAAAGCTGCAACACTCTAGACTCACCCACATGCTTGCTGAATTTAAGACAGTCAGTTCTGGGTTCAACAATGAGAGAAAAGGACAAAATAAAAGAAGATGGCTGAGGAGTTTGAGGTTTTTGAGCACAAGATGCCTGTTCTCCTTGCTTGGCCCTTGAAATAAACCTTTCTCTGCTCTACAAAATAAAATAAAAAATGAAAAGAAGATGTCTGAAATGATCAAAGTATTCGCTCAAAGAGTCACACAATGGAATATTACTCAGCCACAAAAAGAATGAAATAACACCATTTGCAGCAACATGGATGGACTTAGAGATTATCATACTAAGTGAAGTAAGTCAGACAGAGAATTTCATATGATATCGCTTATAAAATGATACCAATGAATTTATTTACAAAACAGAAATAGACTCATAGACATAGAAAACAAACTTATGGTTACCAAAGGGGAAAAGGGTCGGGGAGGGATAAATTAGGAGTTTGGGATTAAAATACACACACTACTATATATAAAATAGGACCTACTGTATAGCACAGGGAACTATACTCAATATCTTATAATAACCTATAATGGAAAAGAATCTAAAAAAAGTATATTTATATATATTTATATATATATTATATATATAAAGTATATATATTTATATATATATAACACATTGCTGTACCCCTGAAACTAACACATTGTAAATCAACTATATATCAATACCAATTTAAAAAAAAATAAAATAAAATACTAGTCCCACCCCACAAATCTCTCCCCACTAATCTCAAAATCTGCCTTATCATCCACCACATCCGTGGCTGCACTTGGATCGGACTCAGTGCAGGGGGCTGGACAGCGGCCGGCCGGCAGAGATGGAGCGCACACCCTGATCACTCTCCCTGCCCTCCGTCACCAGCCTCATTTCTTTGCCTTGAATATCCCGAGACTAGAAACCAACGCCAGAGCCTCTCTGTCCCCCTACAGTGGCAGGGCTGCAGGTGCAGCCGGTCCCCACAAGCCACATGCAGTCCAGGGCCATGCTTCCTGCTAACCCTGCTACCATCCCTCGCCCCCTCCAGCTAGAAGGCTTGTGTGTAAGTCTGTGAGCATCCAGCTCTTGGGACATACTCTCCCCTGGGATGAAATCAGCTGCAAGGTCTCAAGCTCACTCTATCTAACAACTCTTCCTAGAAGGCTGTAGGACGTGGGAGGCACTTATTCCTAGTTTCCAGCATAAGGGCAGACACATTTGTTCCTTGTATATTCTGATTATCATTTCAATGGGAATTGGGGAGTGGGTGGAATGGAACACCTGTGCTCGAGTACCCATCCTGCCAGAAAGCCAAATGGCTGTATAATTAACACTCAATCTTGTTACTCTTGAATTCCAAGAACAACCCGTGCTTGGTAACATGCAGTAAACAACTCATACACATTACCTTTGATAGCTGCTAAATATCCTCGGAGTTCTCGCTGAAGTCTGGTACCCTCTGCCTGAAAACACACAAACACAGAGATGCTAAGCATCTTGTCTGTATCTTGCATGCAAACATGTACAAAGCAATAAGTCTCGAGTTATTTTCGCCAGGAGCTCATTCTTGAAAGAACATAAATATGTGGACACAGACTAAACAAGATGCCCAAGACTAAACAAGATATTTACAAAGATTTTACTCAGCCTAAAAAGGAAAAGGAGAGGGACTTCCCTGGTGATCCAGTGGGTAAGACTCCACACTCCCAATGTAGGGGGCCCGGGTTCGATCCCTGGTCGGGTAACTAGATCCCGCATGCATGCTGCAACTAAGACTCGGCACAGCCCAAAAAAATTAAATATTTTTTAAAGAAAGAAAAGAAAAGGAGAAGGCAAGTAAGACTTTGCTTAGAAACTGTGACCCACCATACAGCAGTTCAATACATTCAAGAGCTACTAAGTCTCTAAATTTTGACAGGTAGGTTACAATGGTTGGAAACTGATCACCACCGTTCACTGTTTAATATGGTAGCTACTAGCCCCAAGTGGACAGAGATTTAGTGCCCAAAAACATATATATCTCATTAATATATTCTACACTGACTGTATATTAATACAATATTTTGGATATACTGAGTTAGATAAACTATATTGACTCATTTCATCTCTTTCTTTTCGTTTTTTAAAAATTAAAGTATAGGGCTTCCCTGGTGGCGCCGTGGTTGAGAGTCCGTCTGCCGATGCAGGGGACGCGGGTTCGTGCCCCGGTCCGGGAAGATCCCACGTGCCGCGGAGCAGCTGGGCCCGTGAGCCATGGCCGCTGAGCCTGCGTGTCCGGAGCCTATGCTCCGCAACGGGAGAGGCCACAACAGTGAGAGGCCCGCGTACCGAAAAAAATAAAAAAAAATTAAAGTATAGTTGATTTATAATACTGTGTTAGTCTCAGGTGTACAGCATCTTTCACTTTTTAAAATACATTAGAAAATTTTTAATTATGAATGTGGTTTGCATTGTGTTTCTATTGGACAGCACCAAATTAGAGAAATTGTTCAATTGTAAATGTTGGCCCATGAACATTTGTTTTGGTTTGGATCGCACTTAGAAACTCTAAGACTCTGAGATAGGATTAGATTTTAGTCCGGAGTTACCTCAGGAAATGTTGATGGTAGCGTGGAGAAGTGAAGCAGGTAAGGAAAGAGAGCCAACGCAGGGTGCATTAGCAAGCAAGCTACTACAGTGGGCAGCCCCGCCTTAACCCTGCTGGGGAACTCTGGGAGACAGACTCAAACACCCTATAGACATCCTAACCGAGGGGCAAGGGAGCTGGGGCATTTATGCATCAACTCCTGCCAATCATTGGCTGAGGGCTGCTTCTGGGGGACATTAATTCCCCATTATGTCCATGTAGGGACAGATAGGTCTCAGGAACCACAGAAAGCCCTCGGGCAAAGAGCTCTGATGCTGGAAGCTGCAAGTCAGTCTAGTGGGCTCAGAAAAGGTAGGTGCTAGGGGCATACAGCTGGCACCTACAGTGTTGCCTATGATACTGCAACTGAACACATTAAAAATATATGCATTTTAATTGCATAATCATTTAACAAAAGTGAAGAGAGCTAGCATACAGAATGACTCCACCTTGAAGATTAATACTATAGCAACTGTTTTATAACTCTAACTTGATAGTTAATAATACACCCACTAATATAGCAACTATAATAGTCACATTCAACGAGCATTTGTTAGTATTTACCAAAAAGGGAGAGGGGATGAAGGCAAAAAAACACTTATATCCTTCAGGGACTTCCCTGGTGGTCCAGTGGTAAAGAATCCACCCTGTAATGCAGGGGATGCAGGTTCGATCCCTGGTCAGGGAACTAAGATCTCACATGCTGCGGGGCAACTAAGCCTGCACGCCACAACTACTGAGCTTGCGTGCCTCAACTAGAGAGCCTGCGTGCCACAAACTACAGAGCCCACGTGCCCTGGAGCCTGTGTGCCACAACTAGAGAAGGGAAAACGCGCAGGCCACAACTAGAAAGAAGCCTGCACGCCACAATGAAAGATCCCGCGTGCTCCAACTAAGACCCGATGCAGCCAAAAATAAATAAATTAATTTAAAAAAAAAGAAAACTAAACTCTTAAAAAAAAAGCCTTTCCATAAATTATAATCTAGTAGAGGAACTAAAATATCTATACGAAAAATTGCATTGCAAAGCAGATTATACTTAACTCTGAAACACCATCCAAACACAACGCAAAGCCAAAATGCCCACCACATTTAAAAATAGATAGTGATTAATATAAATAAACTCTGGGGACTTCCCTGGTGGTCCAGTGGCTAAGGCTCCGTGCTCCCAATGCAGGGGGCCCAGGTTCGATCCCTCGCCAGGGACCTAGATCCCACATGCTGCAACTAAAGAGTGCACATGCCGCAACTGAGAAGAGTCTGCATGCCACAACTACATATCCCAAATGCCTCAACTAAGACCTGGCACAGCCAAATAAATAAAAATAAATATTAAAAAAAATACAAACAAACTTTGAAAAGAAGTGTTTAAGACTATGCTGGACTCCAAAATAAATTCTGGAAGAGAATATTTTCCTATATCTTATAGTGCAGGTATAGTGACATTATTTCTATAAAGTCTATGTAAAGCTCAGGTGAGGTCTTCTTTACCTGCCTTAAGCTCAGGCTGTTTTTGCAACTCTGTAAATCCAGGTACCACCAGATGAAAGCTTAGGGTTAATTCATTTGTTGGCACATATGAACTTCAACCAGAATGGTGCTATACAGAAAGGCAAAACAGAAATCATCAAAGTTCTAAACAACTGACTCCCTTTCTTGTGGCTCAGCATGGCTTAAAATCAAAACTAAGTTTCCTTTGCCTTGCTGAGCCATTCAGAAATGCAGTGTGAAAGCAAACTACTACAAGCTAGATTAAAAAAAAAACTAACCATAGTGGATTTCCAAAACATCAAAGTATAGTGTAAAACTGTAAGCAAAGAATAAGGAGAACGAAGAAAAATGCTAATGATAAACACTTGGGCACAGGTAGAAGATATGAAGGATCCAGAGAAGAAACAGGTAGAATCAGGCCAAGGTCCCCAACACGAACAGGAAAAGAATTTGGGGAAAAAAGAAGTCAGTCTTTCCCCTATTGATTATCTATTTTGGGACAGATACTGTGTAAGATTCTGAGTACATAAAAAGCTGAAAAGACATTGTTTGGGGAGATTTAATTATTGTCTCATCTACACTGCATCTCCCTACCAGATCTGTTTTGAGGGGAGGATTATGCTTCCTGCCCCATCAACATCAAGCTTGGTTGTGGGACTTGGCTAATGAAATGTGAGTGGAAGAGCCACGTGCTACTTCTGAGCAGAAGATGTAAGAGCCGTCACACACTCCGACCATTTCCTTTCCCTCTACCATGCGTCCCATAATGTTCCAGATAGGGGTTGCTCCTCCAGCCTGGATCTCAGAGCGAAGGGAAGATGAAATGGGCAGCTACTGTGCACATTTTCATAAGCGAGAAACAAACCTGTTCTTAAAAGCCACCAAGGTATTGGTGACCTACCCTAAACAGCCTGATACAATGGTTCACCATTAAGAGTAGAAATGCAGAAAGACAGAGTAGCCTGAAATCTAACAACAACAAGCCAATGGAGTTACTGAGCAGAAGAGCATTAAGGGCACTTACAGAAACATTTCAGAAAGGAAATCAAATTGGAAAGATGAAGGACAAAGTGGGTGATTTAGCAAATGGGAGCCTGAGTGGTGGCCAAGTGATTGAAAGAGGTAGAATGGTACTGAGAGAGGACAGCAGGCCACAATCATTTGTCCCAACAGACGGCAGATAATTGAGAGAGAATAATATGTGAAATCAGACATGTGATTTACCCAGACAGATCTAGGTCCAGACCGATCTAAAGCCTACAGCCCTGAAAGGGGTGATGAGGAGGGTTTGACTCCCCTAAGGCCACGTTTTTCAAAATAGGTAAGTGTAGACCTTAGAGGCACTTAATGATTTGTGTAGCACACTTACAGCCACAAAATAAACCTAAAACATCTCGCTGGAATATCAATTTATTGAGATTGGTGGGGGACAAATGGAGAAACCATTATTTCACCACCACTAAGCCACCTGTTAGGATGTAAAATGAAAAGCTGCATAGAGATGAAACAGAACTTCACAGATGTCTCCTGTTTTCAGATGTCTGCTTTAAGACTCTGCTCTACTACTGCTCCTGCCCCTTCCCTGGAAAAGCGCAAGAGGCACTTAGCTCAGGCAGGGCTCACAGCTCACCCAGAGGGATGCTTTCCCCTCAGGAAGTAATACAGAGCCAACCACAGTAACTGATGGTTTTGAGTTACCCTGACTGCTCAGAGTACCTGGAAACAGCGGAAGAGTAGGGTGGAAAGGCATTCTTTTCCCAAATACTTACGAAATAAAGCATGTCAAATTAAGCCCACAATTAAGTCACTGCCTTTTCTTTCAAGAAAAGTACAAGAAAGAGAAGGAAATATTCAGGCTCCAATCTATACACTGCATTCATCTAGCCCAAGGGGAACAATAAACATTTTAAAAAATAAAATAAGCATCCCAGAAGAAATGTTTAGATATTATAAGAGTGACAGAAAATTCAAATTATATAATAATGGCTTAAATTCATGAGTTCAATTTAGCCAGATAAACTGGAGGCTAACTTAAGTAACTTTATTCTTTTCCAATTATTAAAATTCTTAATTTTCCCCGTGAGTATTAAGGTTCACAAAGCATTCGGTAATGACCATATTGAATTTCGTATAAAATTCTGCCTGAATCAAGCAAAGCCTCTGGAAAGAAATTTTTCACCTATAATATGCCACACAGTAGCTCTGCACAAAACCTATTGCCTAATAAAATTTACTTAACATCATTACTCTATGTGAATCACAAGTAAGTTTTAAATGAGAAATAACTTCTTATAGCACTGCTCGCATTTCACTGAATCTAAAGTTCGTTCCAAATTCCTCTG